ACACACACACAGACACACACACACACACACACACACACACACACACACATACAGAGTTAAACATCCCTGTTAATCACAATTTCATCTTAATTAGTTATACAGAAAAATCTACATTGTGCTTTTGTCAAAATTTTAAATATTACTAAATAAAGCAATGTAAAAATTATAATATTTAAAAAAAAAGATTGAAATAAATGTAAATGTAAATCATTTTCGGTGTGTTATACATAATTAATAGATTAATTTACTTAAGAAATGTATAATACATAGAAAAATATTTTAAAAAGTGGACTTAAGTAATACAAGTAATAAAAAGTAAATATAAATATGGATACATTTTCATTTTTACATTTTCGGGAGCGACCCATGTCAACTCACACAGCTGTTTCTCCTCAGGCACTATGGGTAATCACCTCCTAGCCAATCCAATGCTACAGACCCACTCTGGCTCCTCCCCTTACAACACCCTATTGGCTGAAACATTCAACCCCCCGTCACCAGCAGTTTTCAACGCCACTGGTCAGTGTGTGTGTGTGTGTGTGTGTGATGAAGAGCACTGTTTTGTGTGTTTTCTCTAAATGTTTGTATCTGTACTCACGTTCTCCTCTCTTCTGTCTTGCTCTCTCTGTTCTGTCTCTTTATGAACTGATCTACAGGCACGTTCAGAAACTCAAGTATGGACACGTGTTCACACTCTCTCTGTCTGTGTTTCTTTCATGTCCATGCTGCTCCTTCACCTTCACCTCCCTGCTGTGTCAATTCAGTTATTCAACTCAAGCATGACAAGAAACATTCAGAAATGCTTGGGTCTCATTTCTGCAGTATCACATTTACGTCACAATCACTGGATCAGACATCAGATTTTCCAGTGTTTTAGATTTCCATTACTACAGAGCTGGATTAATAACTTGAATAAAGGAGAGAACTGGGGGCTATAAAATAAAGTTAGCTGGGGTCCTATGTCCAAATTGGGTTTGGAATGACACAAGGGTGCGTAATTTTAGAATTATTCTGGTTTACTGTGAGCAAACTGACAAGAGGCATGACAGTCGGCATTATTGAGGAAAGAGTGAATGTTCATGTTCACTACATGCATGAGAGAACGTAAACGCCAAAAGCATCCCTATATGCACACATTCATGCTTATGCATCAGAATCAATTATATATCACAGTGTCACATGAAACTTGAAACATTTCCAGATGGATCTGAATTCAAATTTTTGCTGTTCAAACTACAAGCATTTAATTCAGAAAATCAGACGTCTGCCGCTGTGTAATCGAGCACTTCTCTCTCTGTCCTGTAGAGGGCACACTGTCGTGCAGCCGTGAGTCGTGTGGGCTGGAGGGAGTCCGGCTCAACGGAAACTACAACAACAGCTACTCGCTACACGGAGGGAGTTCGGATCTGCTGGGGGGCGTTCCTGTGGGATCCGGGGGCGTGTCTGGAGAAGTCAGCCCCGCCCTTTTGACGCCTAGAGGGGCAGAGCCTGCTGGCGGTTTGAGGCAGAACCTTCCTGATGCGGCGGCGTTGGAGAAGATGATCATATCCGAGCTCGTCCAGAGCAACCTGCGGCCTTCCACCGATCGCTACGGCAATGGACCAAATTCCACGATGCACCGGCAGGATTACGCAACGTCGACGAGTCACAGAGAGCCTCCGCAACGGCCCTTGCCCCGCCCACCTCCGCCGCCTCCGCAGGACGAGGAGGAGCTGCTGTACAAAGCGCTGGAAAAGCCACGCCTCCCGGACAAGACCCGCCTACCTGATAAACCCCTCCTGCCGGAGAAGCCCCGCTTCCTGGAGCACGCCCAGTCTGTGTTCTACCAGAGCGAGGAGGACTTGGAGAGCTTCTCGGCGGAAATCACGGACGGCGTGGGCGGGGCCGGGCCAGACTCCGCCTCCCTGTACGCGCGGGACCGTGATTCATCTTATCCCGACAGCAGTCCCGAGGCGCTGGGGGCGGAGCCACACTCCACCCTCCCGCCGGACGAGCTGTACTTCAGCGCAGGACGCCAAGCGCACATCTCAGCTTTTTACCAGCCTCCGCCTCGCAGGAACAACGACGAGGCTCGGCCGGGACTGCAGCCCTCGCAGGGGGAAGGCGACGGACAGATGCAACTGGTGACGAGTCTGTGACTAGGGCGCTGGTGACCAGGACACGTAGATCTGGAGGAGGACAATGAGGGTGGACGTCTTCAACATCGCCATCATCATCGCCATTAGTATCTGGGCGAATCTCTCGAAACCATGCGTCTGGTTTGTAGGTCACCCACAAATCTTAAGAAAGACTTCATTTGAGATCTGAGTTCACTTGATTTTGTAGTGGAATATGGGCCAGACGTGTTTCCAGGAGGTTCACGCATTAGTATGAAGCTACTTTCAGATAATGAAAACCATTATCGTGTGTCTTGAGATCTCTCAGAAAGAGCAGTGTGCTGAAAGCCTTGGGAGATCCCTATTGAGATGGTGATAGTGATGGTGATGATGATGGCAATGTTGGCTTCCTCCTCCACTTCTCTGTCTCCTGGTCACCCGAACACCCACCCTGCTCATCTCACTGCCATTCAAGCACATCCGTCTGTCCTTTCTAAGAAGAAATCTTCTTATCGGGTAGTTTTTCCTCCATTTGTCCATTCTCCATCTCCTCCCTGCTGAGAAAACCAGTTTAAACCATCCTGGGGTAGGTATCTGGTCTCCTAACCTGCCCAAACTGGTCCGTTTTGCTGGTTTTTGGTGGGAGACCATCTGAAAACCACCTTAGGCTGGCTTAAGCTGGTTTTTCAGTGGGATTTCTTTCATTCAGGGTGGTGTGGTTTATGAGTGTCAGACCTTTATCAGAATGTGATGACACTTACACCAGAGACCGCAGCTCTTACACATGCCAAAAAAATAAATAAAAAATCACACACACTTGGGGAGCAGCTACTGTCAGGATCACGCTCTCACCGTCATAAGGTTAAGAGTCACGGGTTCAACACGTCAAGCGAATCAACCAGACTGTTGTTTTTGAGCAGTGTGGCGGATAACGAACTCTCGCGCCACCTGTCCGGACGCCAACCAATCATTCGCTTTGGTGTTCAAGACACTGACCAATCATGTTGTTGGGTTTGGAGAACGTTGACTCAATGCTCCGCCCCCTTCCTGTGTTTAAGTAGGTCCTGTAAATAAGAACTGAGAGACGCAACGCCTCTGGACATGCTTCTCTTTCACTTACGAGTTTATGGTTGAAAAAAGTCTTAAAGAATATGTAGATGAACTGATGACACTGTCTCCTCTTCCGGCCTTTTTCTCACTCTCTCTTTCGGTCTTTCTCTCTCTCTCTCTCTCAGAGTGATTCATGTAAAAAAGATAAGAAATGTTTTTTAATCAAAATAAAACAGACAAAAGCAAACCGATGCTGTTCGGACTTTTCCTCAGCTAATTTGCTTAAATGTCATTCAGGATCTCCGATGAGCACGGTGTTGACCGGGAGGTCAAGGCTCAGCTGGTGAACAGGTAGAGAGCATCTCAAGCATCTAGGATGAAACACAGCATCCGGTGAGCATTATAACTTATTTTGCAGCCCTTCTAATGTTTGGCTGCTGAGGTTGTGTTCATATTTGTCTTAAGAAAATTAAATTTAAAAAAATGTGACTCGGCCTTATTGGTCCTGGAACAACATCGCTGGTAACCACTCAGATTTTAGAGTTACACTGAGTAAGGATGTGATTTTTCCCCCATATTTATATGAATTTCCATATTTTCCGACCTAAGGTATGAATTGTGTAAATCCGAGGTAAATCAAATCAAATTTGTTGTGACGACTCAACAAAAACACAAGATTTTAAGGTCTCTCTGTGGATTTCTGCCAAAATAAAAGTTCTAAATTTGAAAGATAATAAGTTAAGACCATAAACATTAGCAAATTTCTGTTGTTCTAGTAAATTATTATAATTATTAAATACTATTTTTATTTACTGTATAATACTATTATTCATTTCATACTTTCATACACAATTTTTTATAATTTAAATAAAATTAAAATGTAATTAAACAATACGTTTTAAACAATAAAAGTAATAATAATAATTATTATTATTATTATGTAGTCATATCAAACTGGGAAGAACAGTGTTTCTTTCTTTTTTAGTCATGGCTGATCACATGCCTGGTTAAGTAGATAGTGCTGCGTTATCATCATCAGCAACATTTGTTTTCGGTTGGGTTTCTGTTAACACTGAGATGTGTGTGTGTGTGTGTGTGTGTGTGTGTGTGTGTGTG